ACTACCCCACAATCATTCATCTCACATTTAACTATCTCTACCATCTGGTTATCTCATTTCCAGTAGCATACAGACTTCCACCAATGGCCATTCATCAATTCACCCTGCACCTGTAATGGTTGTGGATATTCTTTTTTTTTCCTTCCTCACCTTTCTTCTACTTTTTGATACCACTAGGTTTCTAGTGTTGCTTCACAGGATATACTTACCCAAAATTCTGCATCGGACCAGGATAATGGAAAATGCTCAGACCATCTGACCTGGCCCAATCAGTGCCCATTGTGAATTGGGGTGTTCTGCAAGACCACTAGAGTTTTACTCGTGATGTTTATATATATAACTTTTTTTAGTCCAATCCAGACTGTACCCATTCCATGGACTGTCGTGGAAAAAGCCAGCACCAGAGTTGTGCTTCTAACTGTTTTTCTGGCTAGCACTTGCCTGCTTTTAAAAATAAGGTTTTGTGGTTACCCATTGCACTGTCTTCAGTAAAAGACTTTTCCAGACTGAAGGACTGATGGGGATCCAGGTGCATTATCCAGGTCTCCTCTACACAAATATTCCCCCCTCAAGTGGAGCATGAGAGAACCTTGCTACTTAGCAGACCTCAGCTGCTGTGGTATTGAACCAAGGTGAATCCTCACCAATTGAAACCTGGAAGTGGGTGCTAAAACACAGAGTCTCTCTATGCTGAGAAGTGGGGCAGGGTGTTTCTGGAGTGTAGTATGGTCCACCCAAACCTGTCTAGATACATCACAATCTCTGAGTGGATTTCAGACAAACCTTTAACCTTCTCTCCTTTCTCGTTTGCCAACTACTGCAAGAACATGACCCCACTAATTTTGTATTTGTAGTTATTGATATTTCTTATTATCTAACTGTGATATATCACTCATTAACTCTACTCCCACAGCTGGTGATGGGCCCATAGTATCTAATGGTTGAATGGTGATATCATAAGTATTTTTATTTTTTGATACCTTTCAGGCTTCTAGCCTCTTCCTATCCTTCACTCAGGAAAAGAGTACACCCTGATTGAGATTGGATGCAATCTCCCACAAGTGTGCCCCTATGGATGGCGTACTATAGGGTGTTGTACCCAGTGAGCTTCCTTATAGCGATCCTGAAAAGATGCTCATCTAGGTAATTTCTACACTTGTTCCTCCACCATCTCAACATGAGATTCTAGGTAATCTGTGCATAGAGGTGTCATTATATTGGAAGTTAACATTTTCCTCACCTGAAAATTTATTTCTGATAGATACCTCCATGCACATTCTCACCCTTCCTCTCCAATTTTCTTATTTGCCTTGTCAAAGAATGAGAATTTTGCATGCACGTGTATGTGTAGGAGCATTTATGCAAGAGATGTGTTGCACTGCTATTCGTAGAGGGGTTTGCTGCATGATACTTCATCACACAGTATCTCAAATTCACATTTTCACATGAATTTTATGTGGGAGTTTCACAAGGCTAGTGGCGTACAAGTCACTAAAACAGTATAGTGAGACTTCAACAGGAAAAAGCTAATCTGTGCAAAGAGGTGAGTATCTATCAAAAATACATTTTGAAGTAAGAAAAATGTTAACTTTAACAGCTTTGTTGACCAATTGTTATGCAAAAACTGCACATACTTAAGATAAATGATAAACATAAATAATTATACATTGAAAAAGAGTAAGAAAGAAAGAAAATGCCTGGAATGCCTGCATACCCCAACAACATGTGGTCTGAGCAATCATTGACAAAGTACATTTTTGAAAATAGCTGCAGGTAAAGTTTAGACACTGTTTACAACAGCACATACTAAATATGCAGTAATTTATGGTTTTGTGACAAGACCCATCTCCTGCAAGGATGAATATTGAAAACTAATGGAGACCTTTGGGAAAAACTACAGATCTAGGAATTTCTTGTAGTTTCTTTAGATATTATTTTCATTTCTGAAAATGTTTTTGTGTTAAATTATTTCTGGTTGAAAGCTGTGGAAATCTTTTTAGGTAATTAAACATCTTGTAAACTTACTTTGGTTTAACAAGTATGGTGGCTGATTGCAAACTATTCCATTGACTCAAATTCATATTTATTGAATACCATTGTTAAGTTTTATCTTATTCAAACAACATAAATAAGTAAATTAGCTTGATATTTACTAAAAAAAAGAAACAATATTTCTTAAATAAAAATTGATTTTGATCAAGAATATTTTGGCATAAATATTTGATCTAGCCTGACAAAGATAATGGTCACACCACTGTGAAATGTTAGGTTGGAAGTCACCAATAAATATTTGTCAGTTTTCCCATATTTTTTATGATTTATAGCAGGAAGTGGTGACTACTGCAGTCAGCAAAATAGAGTATCAGTAAGAAATATATTACTGAATATCAATCAAGTTGGAACTGACTGAACATATTAAATGTAACTTTCTGGTCAATTATAAAAGTTATTGCAATTGTAAGATGAAAGGAAGCATTTTTTAATGTTTTTTTTCAAATTAGTCTTTGAAAAAATTTCTTTTAAATTTCACAACATAAATGTGATAGAAATACTAAATTTAATTATGTTATTGAGGGCATGAAATTAAGAAAAAATTCCAATGGACAGCAGTTCAGGCAGAAAAAATATTTGTTGGACACTGCTTTTTCTATGATAAATTATGTTTTAATTTGTTTGTAATAAGCATATTGTGTGATTTAAATTTATTATATGATATAATTTAACAAACTAATCACTTATTTATCACACAAAATACTTTATTTATGTTCTATAAAACAATAAACTCAAAGGATTATCAAAATTTACTATCCAAAGTTAACAGTCATCATAATGAAAATTATCTGAGATTGGCTTCCTCAGTTTGAGCTTTCTCAGTTTCACCTTTTTGTTTTCAACTGTGAGAAGCGTATAACTGTGTGACTTATAAACTATTCATAGAATTAACAAAGAAATCAATAAACTCAAGTAATTATCAGTTTTAATTATCAAAAGGTAACAGTCATAATTAAAATTATTTAAAATTGGCTTCTTCACATTGAGCTTCTGTCATATCATCATCTACCTTGCTTTCTGCTATTGTATCATCAGTCTCTCTCTGTTTCATCACACTCCTCTTCTAGAGTGATTAGTGCTTCATCTTCAAAGTTGTATACATCTGCCTTTTGTTTGTTTTTTGTGGTCCATATGGAGCTATTGAAGACTGCTTTGATCTGATGCCAGTTGATCTTCATAGGTTTAAGGCTATTTTACATTTGTTGTATGTAATCTTATCCTCATAAGGCCTGATACAGTCTCTGGTTGAAGCCCATTCCACAAATCTGTATGCACTAGTTTGTATAAACTGAATCCACATACTACTTCAGCACTATGTGTTTGCGGCTGAGTATAAGATCAATGAGTGTAAGAAAGCTCTCATGTCCACCTAACTGCCACATTTCCTGCCAAACTTCTGCATTGTCAACCCTCTGATTTGTACCCTTTGTTTTACGAGTCACAGACTGGAGAGCAAATGTCTTTATGGTGGTCCATTCATTCATAACTACATCTGGACTGAACGATATGCACAGATTGAGTGGTTCTTGAAAATGATCTAATAGCACCTGGATCTCAGTATCACCAAACTTTTTTCATAGAGCTCTTTGTTGTTCAATGGCCATGTATTGATATTGCACACTGAAAGTGCTGAGATATGTGGCTAATTCAGGCCTCCGAACCTTTTTTCAAGGTGAGAAATTAAGGCACATAGGATCATCTCGCTATTTGTGCCTAAACTAATTGAATCATTCTGAAACTCTGTGATACCAAGGTGAAATCTGAAGTCCTCTTGCTTGCTGTCCTTGAGTAAGCTACGAAGGGCTGGTCCATTGTATGCCCTATATCTTTGCAACACTTCTAGAGTTGCATTTATGGTCTCGGAAATATCACTTAGGATACAATCCTGCCTCTGCACTATTTCAGAAAATTCTCTCAAGGATGATGTGATGTCTAATATTAAATTAAGATAGAGAACCATCTTTCTTGGACTTAGATGTTTCAGAAAACCTTTTGCTTTACCTTTGAAGGCAGTGGATGCACTCTAATCATTGGAGACTGCATTCAAATGTGTAATCAATGCTGGGTTTACCCTGAGTAGGTTTTCTATTGCTATATTTGTATGTTTCACCCAATGTGTGCCTCCTACTTGTGTAGGAAGCCTTTTCTTGGGGTTTTCCACCTTTCTTGATTTGATCAGTTCTGCCCTGGCTACTGATGAATTGTGATTGTACAAGTAAATGCTCAAAAAGGAGCTCATCTAAAACTTTTTGGTGCTTCAATTCTTTGGCTGCATCTTTGATAGCCAGTTCTACTGTATGAGCTATAGCTCATCTAAAACTTTTTGGTGCTTCAATTCTTTGGCTGCATCTTTGATAGCCAGTTCTACTGTATGAGCTATGCAATGTACTGGGATGATCCAAATTACTTTCTGTTTCAACTCTATTGCAATGTCTGCCCAGGCCCCAGAGTTGACTGCAGCCCCATCCACAGCAAAACCAACAACATGTTTGTAAAAATGTTCTTCTGTAATGTTCTGTTCTTTTACCGCTTTTAACATTGCTGTCAGAATACTTGCAGAATTTGGACAGTCTACAACCTTGTAGGCAACAAGAAGTACCCTAATCACCCCTTGTTTTGCAGCACGGATGTAAAATAGTTCTACTTTCCAAACAGCAGTATTTGTAAAACCATCACACATGGTGCTATAAAAGTGTGCACCACTGAGCCATTCAATCACTTCAGTCTTGCAGTTACGACCCTCCCCTACACACATCCCCAGTCCAAATTGGGTTTATCATCTGACTTTGAAGCATTAAGCTTTGGGAACAAAATAATGTGTAATTTTCAAATATTATGTAATAATACAACTGATGTAACTCTGCTTTTTCAGTAATTCTATTTTCTAATATGTGCATGTAAAATCATAGGCTGGTAAATTTTTTGTTTGGATCTTGATTTTTAAATAGTGTTTTTGCTGGGTACCTCATTCCATATCCCAAAAGAGAATTTTTGACAGATGAAGAACAAGAAGATAAGTCAGATAACAGTAAAGTAAGTATGAATGCTGTTAAACACTGTAGTTCAATTTATAACAGCTAGTGTGTTACAGAAACATTTTGAATTGATACGGTGGAAAGAGAGGAAGTTCTTGTTGATACATGTGCTTGGATAATCTGCACTAGAACTCATATTATACTATAGTTGACAATTTCAGAAAAACAGTTATACACAGTTCCATGGTCTAATAATTGTGATACATTTTTGAATGCTTTTAATATTTGCTACCAGCTAAAACTTTGAATAATAAGAACACCAGAAGCTAGGCACTCTAAAAGCCTCCTAAATTTAGCATACACTATTTGCACCAGAGAAAACATCGATGAAGCAGTTACACATTTAACTCAATGTGAACCAGTTCTTTAACAGAAACTATAAATGAATTTAAGAAACGCAGACAAGAGACACTTAATTTACAAACAAACAAACAAAAAAAACTTCACAAAACAAAGGAAATCTAATTGCTTGCACTATTCCACATATAGAAAACATTAGCATACGTCTATCAGATATTTTGGAAAGACTAGCACCCAAATATAACCTTAACATAATGCTTAGATTCATTTTATCCATGGAATGAAAATTAAACATATGTTAAGAAAATTATATAACAATCCAACTGCACCAGGGAACATTTATAAAGTAAAGTGTAACAATTTCCCAGCCTTTTACATATGTGAAACAGGATGCAACTTGAAGATCAGGTTAAATAGCTCTAGAGTTGAGATTTTTAACCTTGTTTGTGATACATGCTAAAGTTTTAAATATTGTTTTAGAGGTTTCTTTTGAAATAAAGGAATAAAAACTTATAAATTATTAAACTTTGAATTATAATGTACTTGATGATGATAATTTCATTAAAATGTATTTATAGTTAAGTGGTTTAATTAAATTATGAATGTAACTCAGTAATATGCACAGAATTGGGTTTAAAAACGATGTCATTTCTATTGAGTTAAAAGAACACCAAAAAAAAAAAAAACCTTCCCAAGTCCATTAACATATGAGCAAAACAACCACAGTTGTTTTGAACAGAATGAACCTAACACTAACAAAAGAAAAATCAGAGAAGCCTTATTAACAAAATTTAATAATCCCACAATGAACAAATACCCAGGCACATTTCTATATGAATTTGATCGTTATTTCCTCAGAAATTCCTAATCTGATGCAAATGTTTCACATAACATATTCCACATCACCATATTTATTCATGTTTGTTTGTTTTTTCTGTTCATCTATAAATAAATCATCTGTCAATTCATGTGGATTGATGTGCACATGCATAAGTAATTGCTATCAATTCTAAAATTTAAATACATTATTAGATTGTTTAATGTTGATTTAAATACTAAAATCTTCTTTACCTTTAAAACTAGTGTATTTGATAATGAGTGCATCAGTGAACCCTTATACCTGTTTTAAACACATTGTTCCTTACTGTAAAAGTTGTAACTTCTAATAAAATAGTGCTTATAATCAGTAAGTAAACTCAAAACAAAACTTCTAGTAAGAGTTAATATCTCAGAATATCATTTGATATAGAAAAGTGACTGCTGTAAGGAAGAAGTGTTTTTAATAAGAGTTTTAAGATTTTAACATTATTTTCAAAAACATTGTATGGAAGGATTTATTTTAGTCAAAAATTGTGCATTTAACTCTTTTTCAAAGTATAAATGGATGTTTCTTAATGCTTGAGAAAAAGAATTGGGACCTTTTGTGTCGAAGAAATCAATATCAACTCATTAATGTTAATATTTATCATCATAAATGATTGTTCAGTTGTCATCACAAATAAATGACAACTTTTGTTAGCATAGTACAGTTCAATAGCTAATTAGTCTTTATAATTTTCCCATAAACTTTTTCAGTGTGAATTTTGTTTATGTTAAACAACAACTTCTTAAACATTGGTTTAATAACTAATAGGTTTCTTTGTTATTTTAGAATAAGGTATAATTTTAATATGTTTAAGTAAATTTTATAACTTAAAATAATTATATCGATTTGAGTATATCTTAATATCACTTAGATTTGTGTAATTATAAAGTATAACGATTTGATATTTCCCTTAGACTACAGCAGTGAACAACCAGGGTAATCAAGATAACAACAACCATGGACCAAGTGCCAAACGTGTACGGATGGCTCCACCCCCAGCAACCACATCTACAACATCTACTAATCAGGTTCAAGCATATTTCCTTTTAAAACACTCATTTTTTACTCTTAGTTGGTGGATATTAAAGGTAATTATTAGTGTTTGTTGTAAGGGGGAAAGTAAGCCTTAAGTATGTAAATACAAAGTTAAAAGATTTACTTAAAAATTCCTTCAAATTAACCTAGTATAAAAATTTTACCCAATTATATTTTGCTAGTAATTTTTATAAACATGCTCCTTAGGGTTACTTGACGTTGAAAAATATAATTTTGTTTTTCGGTCAATTTCAATACTAATACATTTCTATTTCCAGTCACATGGTTTGGGGGGTGGTGTACAACAAAGTCAACCTACTATGCCTTTCACATCGGCAGCCAACAACCCACAAACTGCGGGAGCAGCAGGATTTCCACAGCATTTCTAGTCCTCATCATCTGTGATAAATAATTTGCTTCCAGTGCTCGGGTTCATTGTCAATGGGAGGGTTTAAAGGTCATATTAAGAAACATTCCTATCCGTATGAAGGTTTGTTCTAAATATACTAGATATGTTCAACATATCTAATAATCCATAAAAAAGGCAGTGTAAGAAAATAAAAAGCAGAAAGTAGTGAAGTAAGACATTGAAAACTAAGATCTGTTTCATATTATGAACTGAGAATTTGTAAAGATGTGTAGTTGAGTTTCTATTTTTTTTAATTGTTATTTTAATGTGAAAATTCTACAATGTAAATAAAACAGTAGAAAGCTGCCTAAATGGGTGGTTGTGCTTCATAAAATGAACACAGTTTTATATCTTAATTTATGTTGGTAATCAAACTTAATTAATTTTTCTGCTAGAATATTTCAAAAGAAGTGAATAATGTCATTTTTGAAATGAGACAAAATCTGAGCTTGGTTAACCAAACTAATCTTCAGTTGACAAGAATTTTAACCTGATTTTCAAGAATCACTTTTGACATGCATTCTGATTATAAAGTCTTTGTTGAAGACAGTTATCTCAGTATTACATATTCAGAATTTGTTATTATGATTCTGTAAATCTATCTGAAATTTATATATACAACTACTGAGCTATGGTGAAAGAGGGAATTAAAAAGTATTAAGATCTGTCAACCAAACCAGGTTTGTTCAGTTACTTGAAATATAATTTTATGAGTTTAAAAATATGTATTGTATAATTATGTGTAAAGAATATACAAAAATTGAATGTTCTACCATCATGAACTTTTTATTTCATCCATGTCCAAATAATGTGTCTTTACAATTGCATGAGAATATTTAATTCAGAAATTTGAAATTTGTTAAAAATTGTGGATACCTTATTAAGATGATTGTTATTATGTAAAGCTGTGATGTTTTAAAGAGGGCTACTGTAAAGAAATTTGAGCAATTTAGTAGTTAGATGAGCTAAAATAATACTGAGGATTATTTGCACATTATAAGAATGATGTTGTAGGTCCCTGCTGCTTTTGGAACTATTTTCTTTATCATTCAGTCTATCAAGTCTTATGGCCATGGTAATATATTGTTGTCTGATACTGTAACAAGCATATGCAGAGGATGGCAAGGTTAGTCTATATTTTGAAAAACACAAAAGTCCGTAGATTAAATTTGTTTTTTGTTTTTTAATTGGAGGGTTTTCATTTGTAACCACATTGTTTTTTGGTGTGAATTCAGAGTCCTTTGTGCTGTTCTGATTGCTCTGGTAAACATTTTATTTTTCTTTCATGGAGAAAATTGATGGCCCCCTTCTTCAAAATGTTTTCATTGGATTTAGATTTCTATTTAACAATCTAATTGTATGAATATCCTTCCTTGAAAGGCACTGTGACATATATTCCAACCACAAGTCTACAAATGGTGGCATTGCACAATCAAATATTTGGGAATTCACAGTGAACCCGATACATAGATGCTATTCATGTTACCTGCTGTGCTTTGGTTTGCACCTACAGCAACACATATCAACATCAGCATGCAGATAGCACTGATTTCCTCTAAGACTGACAAGAGAGGTCATCTGTATAACAGGAGATTTGTCAAAATATTTACTGTGAAATAGTTCCGTATTTTCTGACTGACTGAGTTTGTGAGAAATAAAGGGAAACTGAACACAACTGTACAATTACAACTAAACAGTGATAAACTGTGCTTTATTTGCCACAATGTACAATTGCCTTTACTGGAAAGTTAAGCTTGAAGTTGTTCTAACTTATTCAGATGAAGTCGTAAGCAAGTCTAACTTTGTTGAGATCCCATTCTATATTGAATAAATATTACATTATGTAGTTAACTCATTAATGTCAGACTTGCACAGAGTGATTAGTGCCACCCAAATGACTGGTCACTGGCAATGAAACATAAGAATGGCCATTACTCCAAGAGATCACCTGACTGCCAGTAGAAAAGACAACTGGTAACTTTGTATACTACAGATCGCCTTATTGAAATTTAAAAAAAGGTACTACTCTAGGTAGATAACACAGAACAATAGGTAGCAAGAGCAAAAGGAAATTGGCAGCTGTCTTTACCATAGAAGTCTAAAGATGCTGTTGTAGGTGAATCACACAGAGAAATAGGAAGTTAGAGCAAATGAAACTTAATGACTTTCTTGACCGACGTGTTATGTGGAAACTGCAAATACCAGCACAAATAAGTTTTGAAAAATTCCTGTGTTAATTCAGGGAGGTAGAAAACATATGGTATGTTTATATACCACAGGAAATCATTCTTATAAAGTGTATTTAACCATCCATATAGCTGAAGTAAATGTTTCAAAAAATCATGTTTTCCCTTTTACCAAGTGTAAAAAGTAAATCTATTTATTGTAGACTTTCATCATAGTACAAATAATAGTATGGAAGTTTCACTAGCAGTATTTTTTGTATCTTTTTTATTTCATCACATTGTGTACAACAGAGTTCTTCTCAAAAATTGTTCTATTTTATAAGAGTTGAAAAGTTTTCATGGTCAAAGGTACAAAAGATAATTTTTAACAACTAATTGGAAAACTAGTACTAATAACTCAAACCAGACACACTATGGCAAATCAAGCTAAGATTAAATACTTACTGTTATGTGTGTTTTGTTCTCGCGTGTGACATACATATAGAGTAATCAAGAAACACTTCTAAAATCTAAGTCCATCATGCAAGGTTTTAATTGATAATAAATGTTAACCATGTGCAACATGAGATGGCTTTCAAGTACTTAGACTGTATATGTTTCAAGGTTTCCATTGTTCTTTAATGTCCATCATAAAATACGTTGATCATGAATCCAGTCATATCTCTGAGCTCCTTCTTTCATATAAAACTATTATTAAGTATATTTCAGATGCCTTGTTCTAAATGTTGAGTTTGTTAACATTATGAGATCTGAACATAGTGTCAATACATTTTATTTCTTAAATGTGGAGATCTATGACTTTTTAAGGAAAATAAAAAAAAATATGAAACACAATGAACTGTAATGAAAATGGTTTTAAATAAACTTCAATAATTTTTTTAAAGAAATCTCTCCTTGCTGACATTTGGTATAAAATTTTCCTGCAAAAGCAGCATTAGTAGTGTTAGTACTCTTCTTGTGACTTTGTTCTATGATGGTTCATTAGCAATACAAGAATACTATAAGGTGAAATGGAAATAAGTTTATGTCAAGTTAGATGTAGGGATTGTTGCCTGTAAATATAATTGACACATGAACCACATTGAAATGATTTTGGTTTATAGTCCTTTACTCACCGTTAATAACCCAAAATACTTAAGATGTTTGGACAACATGGGACATATATGTCACTATCAGTTATCCAATTATTCAGTGGACTAACTTTATTTATTTGTGAACTTCTTTTCTTCACTAAAACATAAATTTAAGTGAAGAAAAGATGATACAAATGCCTAATCTATTTCTTTTTGATTTGCTATCTCTGCTGCAGCAGACTATTTTCACATCATTAAAGGACTGTAAATCAAAACCAAACAAACTGCTTACATTCTACTATTATATGAGGCCTAATTTGTTTATTTGCTTCACTCTTCTGTGTACTGATGAGTTGTGAATTCAGCAAAACTAATCCATTGCAGCAGAAGTAGGAAGTTAAAGAATTAAATTAGCCCACTACATCATCTTTTCCTCACTGTAATTCACTTTTTGGTTAGGAAAAGAAATTCACAAATAAAATACATTTAAAGTCAATAGAGTGAAACACTTTGTATATAAAGTGCTACATACAAGCACATTTATTTTACTTATCAAGCAAATCATGCAGCCACTGATTTAATAACTTTTAAAGATACTTTTAGTAAGTTTGGATTGAAGCTTTAAGTATACTAGTAATTATGTTTCTAGAGTAATAGACATCAAAATACATTAATAAATGTGTAATGAATAATCATGAATCACTGTTCTTTAAGCTTGCATAATTGATTATTTTTGCATAAATCTATTCTATTAGATATTCAGCCAGATTTAGATTTGTTTAAAGTGTTAATAAAATGTCTCTACTAATGATACATCTGGAGAGTTAATTAACAAGTTACAAAGAGCTACTGTGAAACTTGCATGTTAGTTGAGACAAGGATTTTTAAGCAGAGTGCAAGGATTAAATGAGATATTGGATGTGAATATTCCAAGCAACAGTTTCATTGATTAAGTAAGGGAAGAAATGTTCTCATGAAGTATTTCATTTTAAGCATTTTAAGAGATAGTATGTTTTGTAAAGGGGCTGTTTAAGCTACTTTTAAATAGAGGTAAGAGAAACTCCTTTGATTTTGGGGTATCATGTAATTGTTTTAGAATACAGAGTATATAGATGAGTATGTCAGATAACAAATTTGAAAATAAGCATGTTTGTTTTTCATACCAATAGAATAATTTTTTACAATAAGTTGCTTGAATTAGACATTTTGATTGTAGACAGTATGTTAGATGTCATTGATATTATTGAATTTTAGTCAGATGAAGTCGTTAATGTAAAATGTTTTAACGTATCTTATACAGAATATACAAATAAAAGAGGGAAGATTAAATTTGTTTGTTAGAAGTAATGCTAGTGTTTTGGGCAGAAATATGAAGATTCTTGAAAGAAATGGAAAATAGATACTTATTGGCACTTCACACTGGCCTGCTGGTTAACTTGTTGAATCAATAGTAATATTTACATGCAGATTAGTTATATTAACAACAGAATTATACTTAATGCTCAAGAAACTTTGGTTTTGAAAAAACGTGATTGGGCAAGTTTGATTTCTTTCCATGGTGCTGAAGAGATTCTTGATGTAGTGGAATGTTCATAATGCTGTGTAGTATATGATTAGTTATGAAAATGTGCAAAATTGCTTGAGTACAAGCAATCTTATTTGTAAAGCTGGTAGGATTTTCAAAAACTTTCAAGTCAGACTAGCTGGGAAAGATTTTAATGCTTTTTTTTGATAATTTAATTAAACTAACTGAAAATAAATGTATTGCTTTTTCCATATTTCTCAATTAAACTAATAAAAACCTTTTCTAAATAGATGAATATTTGAAACTAAGAAATTAAAAAAACAACTTTAGCATACAGGTGTATGTAATCATGTAATAATAGAATGAAAGGTAGTGTGATTTATTGAAATAAGCCGAAAAATAATTATTAGACTTAAAGAAAATATGAAAGTTTCTTTGGTTCAAAGCATCCAATTTAACTTCAAAGATTTTTAAGTGTGCATTAAGTGCAGAATGAAAGTCAGTAACACTATTGGACCTTTCAGAACTTTTTAGGAGATTCTTATAATTATGGAGAAAATGAGCTTAGCTGAAGTGCTAAAACAACTGTTGTTAACTTGTGTTTTTAGTCTTGAAGGAAAATAAGAGAATCATAAGCTGTTCAATTTCTTTAGAGGTGAGAGAAATGTATCTTAAATTGTTTTCAGAAAAGCTTTGGAAATTTCATGAAAATACTTATTCTAAAATATTAAAGAAGCTAAACAAAATGTTAATAGGGAATTTAACTGTGACTTTTCATAAGTCTTTTGACACTAGCAAAATTCCTGGTAACTGGAAGTTTGCATGTGTAATCCATGTTTCTAAAAACAAATGGAGAGGTGCTATATGGTGTGGTCCAAAAATAATAAGCTTACTGATTTTTAACAAGATTGTGTCAGAAGTATTTTACAATAACATTTGGAAAGTTGAACTTTAATAGGCAATTCTCAGAAATGGTTGTTTTTGCCTTTTTCTTTTTTTTGTTTTTAGAAGTTCTTTTTGTTATTTCGGATGAGGGTATTGTGCTTGTGTATTTTGTTTTTACTAGTTGAAAAGATGTGACTAATTCAGGATTCTCAAAGACTTGTTCTAGTATCTTTATTGCTCATTATTTAAGCAAAAAAAACTTGGGAACTGGATGATGATATTTCTAAAACTTCTGGTGATTCTAAGATGCTTTGAAGAGCTGAATCCATCAATAATTCATATTTTATTCAAAATAATCTTCAAATTTTTATATTAATAAGTGTAAAGTCATGCATTTGAAATATAGAAATTTGGTAAAGACTTGTTTCTTGTGTGAGACAAGCATTAGTGTTATGAAAAAGTGGAAGATATAGGTATAAATGCTGGTAAGACTGAGTTTTTAGCTGTGGCAAAAAGATATTGTTTCCAAGTAAAGAAAGTTTGTACTTAAGAGCATGAAAGTTATTGTGACCTTGTGTAAAACTAGTGAGCTCCCTTAAAGAGTACTGTATGCAATTAGTTTTCCTTATTATAGGAAGGATAGCAACACAGAAATACTTCAAAGATAGGCCACTAGACTGACATCAGGCCCAAGTGACCTAAGCTTCAAAGAGAAAGAAAAAGATTTGCACTTACTTTTTTCTAGAGTATAAAAAGATCAGAGCTGAATTGACTCAGGTGGTAAAAAGTATGTGTTGATTTAGACAGTTTTTGTGGATTATTTGTATGAGTAGTGAAATGAACAGGTTATATATATATATGAACTTAAACTCTTGGAGTAATAGGTTTAAGACTAGGTAACCTTGATGTATACATGTAGAGTCTGTCTTCTTCTGTTGCTGAATTTAGGTCATGTACTTCTATGAGCTTGCTATATATTTCTGGTGTAAAACATTCTAACAGATTCTCTTCTCGAGTACATTGGCTTATACTAACAGAGTAGACCTATTGCTTTTTCATTGGTTGTACCTTCAGTTTGGTCATCATGTGACTGAGGCACTTGCAGTGGTAGTAAATCACCTTCTGCCAATTTAATGGTCTCCAGTTCCAGATCTAGCTTTTTTAGAAGTGGATGCTTTGAGCCAGTTTTAGGAGAATCATTTTTCACTATGTCTACCCTTCTCTCTGTCTTCTCCCTTGTCTGTTGGCCAAGTTTATTGGGTTCCATTGTTGTGTTCTTTGCACCCCACATTGGTGTGTTCAACCATGCTCTATTTAAGTTGAACCCTCTACTGTTATCACTTTGGAAACGTATTCCAGGCAGCCTCAAATGTCCCATCTTTCACAGTGATGTTCATTGTCTACAACTTGATGGCTGGTTGTTATGTAGTCATTTGTGAAAAATACCAGATTCTGTTACTGGGTTAGCCAATATGATGTCATATTCTTGCCTATGTTCTTCCCTGGCAACTTACCAGTCTTTTTCATGTATTTATATCATGATCGAGGTTTGTCAGGTTCTTTTATTGCAGACTACAGAGCTGACATCTTAAACACTTCCCTTACCATGGAAGTTATGATGGTGTCATACTCACTTTTAGAGGATTGTTTTTAAGCCCCTTCTTTGACATTGCCCAAAAGTCCCTAAACATGTCCACAGTGAGATTTAAGTCTGGTCTTTGGTCGTCAACCGTCTCCTTTTGAACCCTTGGCAATGTGTTCATTATATCATCTTTATCTGAAGACATATTTTCTTTTGTTACTCACTGTAGGGAGATATGTTTGCCATTGTTGTTTCTCATAGTCATTTTATTTGTCTTTGGAGGGCTTTGTACTTGTATCTAAATTAAGCTTTCCTACCTAAGACTTGGGCAGCAAGAGAAGGTCAAAGCCGT